ATCAATTAAGACAAGTAGGAGGACACAGTCTCTAGCACACTCTGGTGATCATACCCACAAATACACAGTTTCACAAGCAATCCCACACCTGCACATACACTAACTCGCACACAAGCACGCAGACACTCAAACACCCGCCATGCATGTCGCTGGGGGGCGGAGCATCGTAAATCAAGCTCCAGCTAGAGTGTGAAAGTTGAAGCCCCGCCCCTCAGAGGGATCCACAATCAGCAGCTTGGCTTTGAAATGCCTGTAGCCATAGTAACAGCAGCGTAAAGAAAATTGATTTCTTTTTTAATTTATTTGTGTGCAGCCCTTAATAATAATAATGATTACATTTTTTTCAAAGCAATTTGATGACAATTACTGGAGAAACTCTTTTGATTGTGCTCTGCATTTGCATTTCTGAATCTGCATAAGGGGAAACAACACTATATGATTTTTTTAAAAATTAAAAAAAAAGAAAAGAGGTTCAAGGTCTGAATGCTACAACATCCTGCAAGAATTGGTGTGATGTTCAGTCCTGTGCACAGTAAGTGAACCACAGTCTAATGTGTAGCTCTGAAGGTTCCTGGATTGATGGACGTACGCCTCATCACGTGAATAAGCATCAAGATGATGGAGTATCTTTCACACTCTGGCTCATATACATGTGTGCTCAGCTTATAGCTGTCTCTGTCCGTCTCCATTTCTCAAGCCTCTTCCACAAAATGCACAAAGACACAAAAATGCTCTCATGTACTTTCACTATACTGTAAATTCTGTATTCACACACGTCAACTTACACAGCTGTGCCCAGGTCTGTCTGTCTGTCTGCAGACACTGTGTATATGTCTTGTCTATTTGCCTACAACTGCATGACGCGCATGGCAACGCATGTAAGTGATTGTCTTGGCACCTCACATTCAGACCATTCCATGTAAAGTCACACATGGATCTAACACACTCGGACAACTGACTTGCCCTCATGTCAGTGCACTCACACGTGTGTTACTCCTGCCAAATGCTAACAGGATTGCATTTTTGCACGGACATTGCACATTCACATTACTTTCTGCTTCAGAGTTCATATCAGCTTTTATTTTTCCATTATTATTGATTATTTTCTGGTATCTCCATTCCGTTTGTCTTTTTCTCCTCCCTTTTGTTTTCCTGTCACGTTTTCTCTTCCGGACCTCTCCCTGCTCCCTCTGCACCTGTAGTCTCATCTTTGGAGCGCAGCAGTCCCTTGCCTGAGGGACGCTCCCGCTCGCTGCGCTCCACCCGCTCGTTTGGAGGCAGCTCGGTCACTGTGGTGAAGATGACGCCACTCTCCTTCCTTCCGGGGACACGCATCATTAAATATCTTGGGATCATCAACATGTTTTTTATCAGAGAGACAACGTCATTACGGGAGGTATGAGCGACACAATGGCAGGAAGTCCCAATGTCATTTTAAAATGAAGACTCGCCTCTAAACTTGAAACATACGTGTGTTCTCCGCAGGAAGGTGGTGTTAGCGGCTTCCTGCACTCTTTCATAGCAGAGGTGTTTGCGATGGTTCGAGCTCATGTTGCAGCCCTGGGAGGTAACGCAGTCATGTCCTACAGCATGAAAGAGTGTGTGTTGATGGAAAATCCAAACAAGAACCAGGTACTCTACAGCACTCATTCACAGTATTAACACAAACCTCTTTCTCTACACTTAAAATACTTTGAAGAAACCCTCGAATGGGTTCAGTTAATGCCAGTTAACCACTTCTGTGATCATCAGACCTGACAGTTTGTGTCCACATGTTTTAATCTTGTCCAAACTTTCCTCCTCTAGGCTCAGTGCCTCATCAATGTTAGTGGCGATGCTGTCATCTGTGTCATTGAAACAGACCAGGAGCCCATGCCCTCCACAATAGGTACCGGACAGACCTGTAGTAGCGGAGCTGATGGGGCTACATGACAATGAAACGCTGGCCTCACTGAGTCTGCAGGACACACAATCTGAGTGAACACAACCGTCCAAATGAGTCACTTATGTCTGCCTTAAATCTCTGTAAAAACATCCAAAGGTTTGGCCATCAGTAACAAAGAGCTAGTATTCACACACTCAAAGATATTCAGTCTGTATTAAAATAGGAGTCTAGGATATTTCTCTTTCTTCTTCTTTCCGTTAAACATCAGCCAAAGGACCCCTCTGCATCTGATTTCTGCCTGTGTATTACAGCCGTCCATATGGGGGTCACCCACAGCTACAGTACATTTGCCCATTCCTTCTTTCTGTGTGTCGCACGAGTGACACGAGAGGCAGCTATGACTGATCTGTCCATCATTAGATCACAGGAGACAGTAAATGGACTTGCCAAAAGAGACAGTTTATCCATCAAATAAATAAAACACAGTCAGACTCTCCTGCAGTGTTCAACTTTGTCTCGGGTGACGTGCAGATCACCCATCTGTCCATTTCTGAGCTGACAGATAAAGGCTATGTCTGGCAGAACATATTACAAATTTCAATTAAACAAATAAATAAAATAAAACTACCTGGAATATACATTTTGAAGGTCATGTAGGTGAATCAGTGATGCAGTGTCTAAATCTGATGTTGTATTGATTTTTAAGATGGATATTCTCTGAACCAGTGTCCAAATTTCTTTTAGAAAGTGTCAAAAATTAAAGCCACAACCTTATTTCTATTTCTGGTATCAAACAGGCCATGATTACAGGCATAATGTGCACATATTTTTGTTCAGTAAAAATGTTCTTTTTACAACAGCCATTACAATGAACCTTAGTCACTGTTTAATAAACTAAAACAGTTTTTGTTGCTGAAAAGCTAATGACATAATGTATATGCCTTTCTATTCACTTAGATGTGGGGGACGGGTATAAAAGAAACAGACATGCAGCCTTAGATACAAGCTGTGGCCCTTTGCAGTCGAGCAATGACATTTCATGGAATAAAATCATTTTGGCTGAATTTCATCTGTAGCTGTTGAGTTTTCTGGCTCAAATTTTACATCCTTTACCAAGGTCTCATGCTTTGGCATTCCCAAGTCCCAAATAACAGTCCTGCTCCTGATCTGTCCTCCGACGTTCACGTCCAATGCTGGAAAAGAAAGCTTCTCCTCGTGTAGATGCCACCTGAAAATAAACTGTGTAAATGTTCTCTAAAATCAGATTTGAGTATTTTTGTAACATAAGTCTAATGAAATCTACTGTGCTCTTTGCTTGTGCAATGATGTTTTGAATCACTGTGTCAGAGAATTAGCGGTACTCTAATCTGTTCGTGTGATCAGCAGTTTGTGACCAGCTCCTTATTTTTGTGTCGAAAACTTGAATGTACATATTTTGGATGCTTTTGTTTTCTGACTCGCAGCAGGCAGACCCACTTTTTATTGCCATGAATCTGTATGCTCACCTGGTATGTCTTGCACAATAAACTCAGTCAATCCAAGATGCATCTGTCATCACTGATAAAGCTTATGTACAGTTTGAGGTACTTGTACTTGTAATGGTGAAAAAAAAAATCTTGGATCGAGATTTATTTGTGTAGTGCTTTATTGACGAATGATAAAATGTGGTACTATTGGTAATATTACCAAAACTATATACAAAGTGCAGAATGCATAAACAGGAATAACAGCAATAATGAAGTGGTAAAACACAAACGTCTGCCACCATCCCAGGCACAACCTACACACACATTTAGAAACTCTAGTCTTCAACCAAACAGCCTTGTTGGGAGGTTTCCGATCACGTTGCTGTCTCTTGTTCATTAACATCAAAGTATTAAACAAGGTTCTGGCAAACTTGTCATTGCCGTCAACTAATGTATTCCTGGGGGGCCCCTCTCAACTTGAGGCCCCAGACAATTGCTTGCTTTGCCCTGGTGCAACGCCCCTGGATCAGTATGTTTCTGCATGATCTTAGGTAACAAACACATTTATATGAAACTTATACCTACTACATAACTAGTTTTTGCTTAGTTAGTTTTTAATCCAAATTGTTGAAAAAGGATACTGTGATGCATCTGCTAATTGATTGAAATTAAATGAAACAAACTATTAAAATGTGGTGACACAAAAGTGTTTTTTTGAGTTATAAAAGTTGATATCAAAAAGTGCTGTCATCTGGCTTTCAGTTGGTCCACGTAGTAAATAGCATGGCAGCTATTTAAATAGTGTACTGAATGTAATGAAAACAATTAAAGGCAAAACAGTTTTTCAACAAATTCCCCAGATTTTCTAGGCAGTATGGAAACTGTATTCTTGAGAGAAGAAACCAATGAACTGTATAATAAGGCAGAGATGATCTGCACTCTCAGGGATGCAAAGGAAGAGTGACAGCGGAACAACCAGAAACCAAATTACAAAAGCTTGATGGCTTTAGTACGAGACAGGAAAAAAACTGAACTTTACATCCTCTAAAACCACCTTGACCATCAGTCAAGCGGAATATATGTTTACCTGAATCGAGGTAATTCTTATAAACAAAAACATTCTTCTTGCACTTTTTAATTATTTAACAGTGTAGTTTTAATTATTCCCAAATTTCAGTGCAAAACAGCCGCTCGGTACATGAATAACAAACAGTAGAAGGCACATTTTATGTGAATGAGAACAAAGTAGCAAAACAGAGATCAAATTTTTCAAAGTCGAGGCCTTTTGTTTCTAGAAATATCATATGAAAATGCTACAAAACACCAATAAAATAACTAGATTGTTAAACCCCAACATAAAATAAGGCCGTGATAGAGGCAGATAGAGAGTCATACAAAGATGTTCATTTTGTCACATACAAAACATTTAAAAATCTGTGCAACATGTTTGGTCTTCATGATACAGGACACATGTTTAAACATCCTCGGAGTGTGCACCACCTTGCAATTCTTTGGAACAGGTTTGCTCTTGGCAGTGAGTATAGTGCAGATAAACATGGACATAGTGACAGACCTGGAACACAGCAGTATCTATTATAGTCAGTGGTACACATTGGCATCAGTTTGTATTGTCTCAGTAGTGAGTAGTACTTCCAGGTAAATGTAATCTGAGTCATTGTGCTGTGACAGATGGTAAGTTTACTTGTTGGGTGTAACCTGCTGGTTCCACATGCCACGTTTGGAGTGAAAGTAGTGGAAGAAGTTCCTCAAGTAGACCCTATCCACTTCCATCCCTGACTTAATGACCCTAGAGCAGAGAACAGAGGTACAGTATGTGGGTATAGTGTTAGGTTCAGCCATAAGAAAAAAACATGAGGGGAGGAAGATTGCTGTCCTTTTGCGTTATGAAAAGAAAGTTGAAATGTCAATAAAGTCAACACACAGTTTTCTGCACAATCTCCTGATACTGAATCTCACACTATGTGTATTTTGTAAAGGCAGGCATGTGTGCCCATATTATTGGTTTGACATATTTTTAGAAGTTTGACTTGAGTCTTTTCAACTTCCTTCTTGACATGTTGAAATAAAAATGTTCAATACTCTTCTGTACTGAGGAGTTTGTTCATTTACATTTCTTTCTTTTATTTTACTCTTCAGGGCAGTGGTTACCAAACCACCAAACAGACTCTGTCTCACATGAACATCATTAATATTAATTTGGCATAAAGTTTCCAGTTTTGATCTCATACCATCTCCAGATGGGTCTTTACTTGCCAACTGCCTCACCATGTTCAGTCACTAAGTGTGCCTGTTTGCAGTGCTGACCAGCTTGTGTGTTGTGATAGTTTAGTTTACCTAGGATTTTTTACAGGACTGTTGCATTAGATTTAGCAAAGTGTACCTAATAAATTGGGTAATTTTCTGTTTAATGCAGGTTGTGTGAGACTTTACATGTGAGGGGCATCACTACAGATGTTTTCTCAACAATGTTGAAAAGTCTAGATGTTGATGTTTCTTTATAAAGTTGAAGGAAGGAAAAGCATGGCTGATATGGGGATAGAAATAAAAACCAGAGTCTATCTGCTAATTTACATTTAGTAAGTAAACACACCTGTCGAGTAGTTCCCAGTCTTCTCCTCCCCAGCGGTCTGTAAATTCTTTGGTGTTCATTCCTCCCACTGCATCCAGATCAGACTTATAGATTCCAAGCAGGCCAAAGCCATCCACCTCCCAGAAACCTGCAATCCACACATTTACATTTCAAATTTTACATTTACTACATCCACACTTAACCTGCATCCTATTACCTTCAATTTAACCAGTTTGCATGGTTGGTAAACAGTTTTACCAACATCTACACCTACATTATAGGTATAATAGTTGTTTTTCTCTCTGTTATTTAGCAGGATTACAGCAAAAACTACCAGTGTATTACCAAACGTATTGGAAGGATGAGATATGGGCTGGGGAAGAACTCATGTGCTTTTTGGAGCGGATTTAAATAAATGGGTGAAAACAGGATTTTTTTTGGTTCAAAAAGGTCGCTCTAACGCATGAAAGATTCACAAAGACCAAAAACTGAAAGGGAAGTGGGAGATAGAACTGCATTGCATGACACTTGCACGTATACAAGGTGCACAACTGCATGTAGAGATCTGACTGTCTTTGTGGATGGTGAGAGGTTTTCAAACGATAACACGCGCAAACATAAAATAGTCCACCGGAAGTGGTTAAGCTAGCGTCCAGTGGATCGTGAATGATCCTCTGGACATTTAGGCTTAAAAATAGGCCGTAAATTATTATTTTTGCTTGCGGACACAGTATGGAGACATGTTATTGTTACCTGTTGTGTTTTTACATTTGAAAAAGTGGTCACTATGACTTCAGTTGTACTGGATTGTGCTGCAACAGGGTGTCCCTGAAACCCCTAAAGTGTTTTGTGGACTCAAATCTTTCACCCACCCTTCCATTGGCATAGTGGTGAGTAGATAATGAGTGCATTTTAATTTTAAAGTAAACTATCCCTTTAAAATGAAGCTAAAGATGTGTGTATCTACCTCTGGCCTCCAGTGGTGTAGCCCCACAGTCCAGTCTCATGACCATGGGAGCATAGGCCATGTATCCCTCCACACAGTGTTTCCTGATGCTGTCGATCATAGAGGTAGGGAATTGGAGGTGGAGGTCACACAGAAACACTATGCTGTGTTTGTCCTGAGGGAGGATGACAGAGAGGTAAAGATGTTCTTATTATTCTATTGAAATGAATTGATCTTAATTATTTTACTGTTGAGAGCGGTTGCATCACTAACTTCTATGAGGTCGACTCCTGCTTGCAGACCAGCAGAGCGCTGGAAGYTTCCACTCAGCTTCAGATACTGGTACCTGATACATTCCACACACACTGTTACAGCACATACATCATGTGTATCATACTTAACCATAGGTTTATATTCAGCGTAAAAGGTCAAACACACAAATGCACAACCTGTGGAGTGACGAGCTCTTTAGAGCCTTCTCCACGTCCATGTCAGTGCTTTCGTAGTCAGTGATGATGAGGTTGAAGTTGGTGTCTCCAGTTTCTTTGAACACTTTCTCCATTTCCAAAATCAGCTGGTAAACCCACCGAGCCTGGTTTTTCACTGAGAGACGTAAACGGGAAGWTAGACACACGRCTTTAAACATCACGGCTGTCAGCTCACTTTAGTTTTTGTTAGAGGGCACATGTGGCCGCGTCGATAACCCCACCCATCATATCTCAATACAACGGACAATGACAACAAATAGCAATTTCAGAAATGTACACATATCCCCCAATACACCGTTACACATTTCTCGACGGTGGGAGGAAGTGGAGATTTTCTTTATACACAGTCTGAGGTTTTAAGTTTTGACATTGATATTTGCTTGAAGAAATATTAAGAATGACAAGACAACATGTAGAATCACATACTTGATGTAGTCAATGAATCACTTTTAGGGGCATAATATCAGTGTGCAAACACTTTTCTAAATACAAGTTAAAAACTACAAAATCTTATGTTAAATCATCTTAAAAGTAACTCATAACTAAGTCAAGTATAAAGGAGTGTAAAGTGAAACCTTTCCCTCTGTAGTGTAGATGAGTTGAAGTATAAAGTGGAAGGAAAATGAAAAAACTCAATTACTGTGCCTCAAAATTGTATTGATGTAAGGCACTTGAGTCARTGTTCAATCTCCACCACTAGAGATGAGCCTGGTCAAAGGTGGATGTACAGTACCTGGCACTATGATGTGGACGGTGGCAAGAGGATTCCAGCTGAAGCCCACTGGGTTACACAGCACCAGCTCAGGTTGTGGAATCAAAGCGTAGACATATTGTGACAGACGCAGCAGCCGGCCGTTAATGTCTTTCAGTAGCAGCTCCAGGAGGTAACGGCTTCCTTTGACGATGTCCACACGCTTCACCACGTTAACCACTCGCACTAATGTGAACTGTCTGCAGGGGCAGAGAGAGTCAGACACAGTGACATGTCTGCAATAACAGTTAGGAAGTCCATGCACAAAATTGTTTGATTCTAAGATGCAACATACTCTTATTTCATCTAAAATATTTGTGAGGTCCCACTCTGTACCTATTTTAGATCTCTTAATATAAATACATTACCACCCAGTGGTTTTATGCAGTTTCAGTTCCTCCAGTTACTCTTGACATATTGCTTTAATAAGAAAAATAAGATAATAAGAATTTCCCTTTAGGCAGACTTCAGACTCCACGTTCAAGAAGCCAAAAATGTTTTGTGAGGACGCAGTCACCTTGACCTTTGACCAGGAAAATGTAATCAGCTCACATTTGAGTGATTAAGTGAACAAATGCTTACAGACTAACAAACATATGTACAAACAGAAAACCTAAAAACTTAATGCCTTTGGCCACTGGCTGTCACCAATTTTGGTTTTATGGCTCAGATGCGCTGGCGCAGATTCAAATACACTTACCCATTATCTTTTTTGTTGAGTTTGTCCATGAAAGCCTTGACCACTGGAAGAACATCACTGGAGTTGATCAGCAGACTGCCAGAAAATTTGCATTTCAGTTCCTGTTCATCTGAAGTGTGTGCCCGAAAGTCCAGGTGGTTGATCTGGAAGGTCTGCCTCCAGTTCATCTCAGGGTCAAAGTAGACATTATCCTTTACCTGCAGAAGCTTCCGTGCTCTTTTTACAATCCTCAACCCCTTGGCCACAGCTTGGGTCTTCTCTGACGACACAAGCTCGTCTGGTTTCACTGACTCAGTCTGAGGATGAGGCTTTGTGTCCTCTTCCTGCAGTGGTAACAAGTGGAGTATCTGCCTGAACTTCTCAGCATAACTCTCATAATCTGTTTCATAGTCCCGAAAAAGGGTGTCTGGCGTGATTTCCTTTTCCCTCTCAATTATGGCTGATTTCTCCCCCATGAGGCTTTGATCTAGTATTCATCAGAGGCAAAAACAGAAAATCAGAGTGAATTGGGCTGACAACACAAGTAACTCTTTTATAAATAAGAAAAGTGAGAAAATACCTTTGTCTGTGTTTTCTTGTTTCTGCAGGTCAGGACTGTCTCGTTTCATGTATCCAGCTAAACCGGAACTGAAGATAATTAGAACACAAAATGATCGTTACTGATTCTGGCTCCAAATTGCAAGATGGCCGAGTTCGTATCCAGGATATTTTGCCTTCATTTCTGGACTGTAGGAGGAAGTGGAGACGCATCGTCTATCTTTATATACAGTACAGTCTGTGGTCTTACTACATATTTGAATAACCTAAATAATATTCAAATAATTTTGAAATGGTAACAACAGTAAGGGAAACACTACTTTTTTTTAAAGATAGTGTCAGTAAACAAAAAGACATTTGATAAATCGGAGGGTGTGCAATGCAGACGAATGAGAAATCATACTTTTTGTTGGTAGATATTTTGCTTCTTATTGTGGTTGATATAGAGTGGATTTGAAATGTACTTTTGCACTTCTGCTAAGTTTAAGGACAACTGTGTGTAAGCTAACAAGACCACTGTGTGTGAGCTGTATTCGCCAAAATGAAATTAGACTTGGTTTTGTTTCATTTTAACCATATGTGTATGCGCATACTGAGACTGTGTATAATTCATGCTAATAATTGTTCGTCATGTTTATGATAATGATGTGGGTTATAAAGTGACAAATAATTACATTTAAGTTGAATATGCTTTCATGCAGCCCTCTATTAAGAGTTTGTCATTTTGTTAAGATAAATAGTTATATCATAGTGATAGGGATTTCATGTTTGTGTAAATAGTAATTCATGTTAAGCGAAGGTTTATAACGGATGATCTAAAAGTTGAATATTATCATACCTTTAAAGGGTAATACTGTTCACACCATGTTTGCAGTTGTCAATAAGGTTTTGTGAGTCATCAGTAAAACAGAGTCAGACCATCAGTTAGCCGAGGATGCTACAACATATGGCTCTATAATTTAATTTTCATGTTTGTCCCCAGAAGTCTCACTTCTCCATGATGTCTGGGGGGTAGAAGCAGCTTTTCTCAGACTCCATGTGTGTGAGTCGGGTGTGGTCATTGGGGTAGATGTAGGACAATTTGACCTGGTGAGATGAAATGAAATGACATGCTGTTAGAGACATGAGAGCTTAATGATTTGCTGCCACACAAATATGAATCATGAGGTCCTGTTTGATGCAGCCACTCCCTCCAGGACCAGATCACAGAATGCAACATGTGTTTAGATTTAAATACTTTCCAAACTCACTTAAATCTGATCAGTTAACTTTAAAGTCCAAGTGAACATTTGTACCAAATTTAAAAGGATTCCCTGGAGGTGTTTCTGATATGACGCATTCACAAGGCCACCAATGTATTTTATGAGGTCACAGCAACCCTGACCTTTGACCACCAAATCTAATTGTGAATCTTACACCATATTTCAAGAAATTCCCTCACATTCTTTTACATGTTCACAAGAATGAGACCTGATGCCTCCGGCCACTGGCTGTCACCAGTGTGGAAGCAAAATAAGTGCTCGCCTGTTCCATTTGTCGAGAACATGGTTCTCCACTTTCAAAACTGTATTCTGAAGAACAGTATGAGCGGGATGTCATCTATCAGAAATACAAACACATACAAATACGTACATAATTCAGTCCTTGATAGCGACCAAGAGGAACACCTTTGATTGTGTAGCTGGGTTTGTAGTCACAGACGGGCAAAATATCTTGTAGGAACTTGCTGTTTATCAAAGGCACTGCAAACCAACACAACAGAGATTGGAGCCAAGACTACTTTGTGGTTCAGTTGGAAATCACTTGCAGCCTGACATGAAACGTGTGATATTTGTGAAAGATGTGATACAGAACAAGACAGAGAGACGTCTCTCACCTTGGTAGAGAACATCTCGTGGGTCTTCCATCAACATGTCGACTGTGGAGCTGCTCTGTCTCGTGTTTTGGTGGCTCGCAGCTGTCTGAGGTACGTGAGCAACATCACCTGCTACCAGAGCAGACTCATCTGTGGGATGAAGCCACAGGCCAATCAAATCAGAGAAGTGCTCCACATTTAATGTGCCACAAAACCACTGACTTTATACAGTGTGAGCATCTGTGCAGAAATAATAAAGTCAGTAGTTTTGGATTGTGAGACACTCTGTGGTGCAGATTCACTCTGAGGTTTCTCTGCCATTTCAGTGTCAGAAGGAATGATGTGTGGTGATGTCTGATACGTGTCCTTACCAACATAGAGAGAGATGTCCTTGGATGCAATAACTGTGAATCTGGAGCCTTCGCCCTGGAGCTGCCACTGTGTGAAGACAAACACAAAGAACTACATTTCTCTTCTCTGTTTAAAAGCTCAGATTACACAATAATGAGAAAGCTGCAAATGAGAAAACAGAGAGGGGACTCTTTTTCTGAGCTGGATCGAGCTACTTACTGCCACCTCCACATGGTCTGTCCCTTCATGGTCCTGCTTGTGGAGAAGTTCGAAAAAGTACTTCCTCTCTGCAGAAAGCCTGTCAGACAGTAACAGTTCATATTTAGAACCACACCATAGACATATTAGACAACAGAGCTAAACAGCTTCAAGTAGCCAAAAGGTTCTTTGTAGGTAGCTGACTGGCTTGGCTGCTCTATATTGAGTGTGCAGCACTTCTGTCCCTTCATTTGTTTCAGGGTGTAACAACATCATAGAGTAAAATCTAATCACTTAGAGATTTAAAATTCTCCTTCTCATGTCTCTTCTTCTTTAGCAGCTTAAAATACACACGTTGAATAAACATTAACACAATTTTAAAGCCATAAATGTTTCTATTCTCACGCTTGAAGCACACTTACAGTACGGTTCTTGTTAAGGTACAAACAATGCCACCAGGCACGTACAGTACTGGATCTTTATTGCTGATTCTTTTTTCTGTTTTGGTATCAATTGAAACTGGTCTAGATTGTAAAGTCTATAAAACTGCCTGTAATCCATACCCACACTCTGTGACAAAGCGTTAACAACAAGGTCATGTAATAGGTACAAACAGCCGTCTTATTCTTTCCAGCACCTACACTGAGTTTTTACCGTATCAGTATTTATGAGTTAAATTCCCAGAGGAACATTTGCGTTTTTACGTAGAACTAGGTTATGAGAACTTCAATCAGTTACGAGACTGGATGTGCTTCTGTTGAGACATGAGTTTTGGTGACGTTATCCATAGATACAGGGGAGAGGGCAGTGTGGCCCCCAATTTTCTGTCCCTGACTCGACCCGGATATCATTTCAAAATTTCTCCTGGTTCGTAAAATCTATTTCACACAAGTTTTTGCTTCTTTTTAACCTTTTTTGTGACTAGAAATCCAGCTGACTTTTGAGGCCATAGCTACTGTTATTGAGATATTTCTGCCCGTGTTGAGTTCACACACACACACACACACACGCCGAGAGAGTAAACTCACCTAACTGGTCTGGATATCTGACTAGCGTATTTCTCAAACTCGCCAGGGGCGGTCCACTCTGTGCCAGTCTAATAAAAGGAAGTAAATAATTATAAAGGAAAGCAAATATTAAGACACCAATATTTAGACATTAACCCCATTAAGATAATAAGCTAAGTAAGACACTGCCATGTAAACCGCCGTTTCGGATCATCTTAAATCTTAAAGGTCAAACTTGGAATAAGCACAAAACAAATTAAGAGTATTCTGACCTCAGTCACATTATGTAGACATGTGTATGTTCATGTTACTTTATCCTATTGGAGTTTTTCCAGCATTTTTCAACATCAACATAAAGTAGTTACCCACTGCTTGATGACGAACACCCTGGGTTCGAGWGTAAACTAGGAGTATGATGTAACATTGATATGAATCATTATCAGATGCTTTGTTACATATAAAGAGGAATCAATGATGAATACTATTAGCAACTCATGTGAACAATCAAAAATCAATTCTTATTCAGAATAAGATCAATAGTCAGAATATTGATGTCCATGTWGTCAGTGACACAAATGTGGAAATGTTCCTCTGCTGCTTAAGAAGATGACTGAKATAAATACCTTTCCAACCCATCCCAGTAACTGCACATTGAGGGGGGAGTCATCTGTGCTGAGCCACAACTCAGAGTTGTCCTGAGAGCTCAAAGCAAAAACAAACTCTCCTGAGAGACAAAGGAAAGTAGGGGTTATAMGGATTCAGACAGACATGGGTACAGTATCTAGAGAGATGTATGATATCTATTACATTACTTTTCCTTTAGCTGATGCTTTTCTCCAAAGTTACTAACAATAAGTGCATTCAACCATGAGGGTACAAACCCATAAACTAGACCTGATCTGTTCACAGCATGGTACACAAATACTAGCGTTTGGAAACGGATGTGGGAAGCCACTGGTAACCAGTGAAGGTAGCGGAGGAGTGGAGTAGTGTGGGTGAACTTAGGTAGGTTGAAGACCAGTCGAGCTGCTGCATTCTGGACATGTAAGCATGGTAACAGAAGTGACTAGTGAGGTACCGTCAGTGTATGGATGCAGATAGCCAAATATCCTGAGTCCATAGTTCGTCCAATTAGGAGAGACAGCCAGCTTCAGTACTGTAGTTCTGGACTGAAAGAGGAAACAAAGAATCAGCCACCATGTTTACTCAAAGAGGGACAACATCTTGAGTCCAGGGACCTGATGATCTAAAATGTGGATGTAGAATGCAACTCTGTGTGAAAACACCTCACTGTGACACTGAAGAAGAAAAGAGGATCACTTCGGTCAGTAGGATTAATCCTCTGGGGATCATGAATGTCTCCATGAAATTTCATGGGGTTCCATCTGAGAGTTTACTGAGTATTTGAGTGCATATACCTCCACCAAGGCTTAAAATCTATAAAGTTGCACCAAACTGCAGACACTCATGATCACAGTCCTAGATAAAAGATAATAGAGCTGGTTCTTTTCATTAAGATCAATGAATGATTCCCTGGGAGTTCGCTCTTTCTTGGCCCATTTCCCATCCCTCCACCAAGTTTAGTGGAAATCTGTTCAGTAGTTTTTGCGTATTCCTGCTGAAGAACAAACAATGCAATGGACAGGGGCACAAACACACCCACCCTGGCTGAGGTAACGATCCACTGAACATAATTAATGCAGTGTGAGGTGCTCAGGTCAGACTCTGACTCACGTGAGGATACAACGGGTAGTGCGGGTTCTTGCGGAGATCAGCTATAGATTTGCCACACCAGTCCTCAAACACGTGCAGATTGACTCGTCCCTTATTCTGCAGGAAGAGAGGAGAGAGAGGATCTAAATGAAATGTGTGTGTGTGTGTGTGCCTTTTCCTGTTACATTAGTCCTGAGTAATTCCTGGAGGATACACTAAAGGGGACCACCAAACGTACTATATATGGTCATCATTATCTTCGATGCCTCTGGCCCTATCCTCTGTGCTGGTGCTGGCAAAAGGCTCCTCATGATGTGCTGGGCCCCTGTCACCTGCCTCTCACTCTTGTGATCTTTGCCTCTGGCCCTACATGCTATGAGGTCCTGAAGAAGTGCTTAGCCCGACCTGGATCTGACCCGTATTCCACTTTCAATGACCCTGAACAGTCTGTCTCCTAGAAGAGAAATAACATGTTTTCCATTCTCATAACTACACGGTTCAACATGACAAGACTAATAACTTTACTTTTTACAAGTCTTAATATGAGAGGGCCTTTACATCATAACTTGGAGACAAAAACTACCAAACTTACCTGAGAGTCTATGCCTCTGTCTGACTGTCCCTGTCTGTCTTTGCTCAGCTCCTCTCTTTGAGTTGACTTTGCCTGATGACACATTCATGAAGGCACTTTTCTTGTATCAACTTGCCTTTGATATCACTGGGGTGCTTAGACATTCTTGTTGTTTTGGTGCATTGAAAAAAGATATGGATATTTTTTTCCCCCAGGTTATTAACACGAATGGTAGAGAAGCAACACCCATTAACTGATCTAATACAAATAATATTCCTAACTAGACTTAGTTTTCCTGCTACTGTGTAAAAGTCCACAACACTATGAAGCCTTCCAGACACTGAGCATATAACAGCGTTTCTTGTAATTTAGTCTTTTTTCAATGAATTAAGACTAAGACTATTTATTTCCAAAATGATACAGAAAATACACGCGGTAGAACCTAATTGTTTTTGGCTGAGTTAATCTTAAACATTATAGAAATATTACTACATTATCATCTACAACAGATCAAGTAGCCATTCATTTTAATGAAACCAAGCATTCTGTGTCATATAAACATCCTTTGAAAATCGGTTGAGAATTCACTGAGCTGTGAACAGTGGACCAAACCACTGTGAGGCAAGGAGAGGGGGGAGCAATTGGTTAAAGTTTATTAATGATTTAATTTAGTCTGTAATTAACAAACACACATACAGTGCATATTGTATTAATATTTAAATGTATCATTGCTTATGTTTGCAATGATATTGAGGAGGACAACACTCTGGGAGGGGGTCCGGTCCCCCCCTGTACCCCCCTGAAATCCACCCCTGGGTAGAACAGGTCGTCCACTAACCAGAGGGTCAGTGGTTTGATACCAGCCTCCACTGTTCCATATGACAAATTGTCATGGGCAAGATACTGCACAACACAGATTGCCTTAGGTGGCTGTGCAGGCAATGTGAGTGAATGAATGAATGTTTGTATAAATGGGTAAATGGCAAAACTGTTCTGTGAAGCACATTGAATGGTCATCACAACAAGATGATTATAAGAAAATAAGAAGCATTGGTTTTTTTCAAGTGCGCTGAGGTGGGAGGGGCAGGCCCAAACAGGTTAGTCTGAGTTCAGAAGAGGTGAGTATTAAGAGCGTTGGACACACTACAAACACACACACACACACACACACACACCTCTGGTTTCCAGGGTTTTAGAGTATAGCTGGTTGTCCAAGCAGATGAATCCTCCACATTGCTTGGTCGTTCCTCTCTGACCTGCAAAACACCCACATTTATTTCACTCTTCCTCAGCCGCTCTGCACAAACACACAGCTTTACATCACCATATTTTCTATTACTGCTTCTTTATCTTTACCAAGTTGTCAGACATGGCTTTCCTCCAGAAGTCTTTGACACTGTAAGCTTTCAGGCCTGAGGAAGTGAGGGAACACAATCAGAGCAATGCAGGGGTGACAGGCAAATATGCAACAGATCGGCAACACTCAAAAATGTTCATTCCACAATTCTATTGGTCTGGCATCATCTTTTTCTTCTGCTTAGTGGCATAAGAAAATCTAGGAAAATCGCTACTGATATTAGAGGGTAAAAAATGGAACGGCTGATATACCTATTTTTTAATTGGCAATGACAATTGATAGCGAGCAAGCGGATGTGTTGATGATGTTTAACATGCGACAGAAGATGGCGATAGATTTTAGAACTTGTAAAAAAAACATTCGAGACATTTACATTAACATTTAAGGCATTTAGCAGACGCGAGAGAAACCACAACATATCACTGTCGATGGGGTAAAAGGAAATATAGAAACAATTGTCGAGCCCTCATCTGAGGCTCATAACTGCTATTTGTGAAAGATTCTTTAAGTGCATAAGTGCTATGATTGGGGGGTTTTTTTGGGGGGGGGGGGAGTCATGCTATGCAGGGTCAAGGTTAAGTCTGAACAAATGAGTCTTTTGGGGAAGATGGAGAGCGATTCCGCTGTCCTGACATTGGTCGGGAGTCCGTTCCACCACTGAGGTGCCAAAACAGAGAAGTGTCGTGGGCCTTTTGCGATAACGACCAATGCCTGTGTCTATGTGCTAAAACACATGGCAGAGTTTTTCTTCTGCAGTTTAAGCAGCGGGTGATTACCATGATACCGTCCTGTTGCACAGGCAGAATGATAGTGAACACTGTGAGAAGAAACCTCAGAGGGCTCAGTGTGGGTGTGAGCCACAAGAAACTGGGTCTTAGAAATGAATAGATGAAACCTAATGCCAAGCCGGTGTGTTACCAAGGCTTATGTATAAAGATGTTATTAATATTATGACCCAGCCATCCGATTCTTATTTCTTGTGATTGTGATAATATTGGCTGTGTCATGAGTATGGATGTCACGATATGAAATTTCGGTGTGCCACAATTATTGTCAGAGGAAAAACACAGTTTCACAATATTCTACGATATATTATTGGTACTATAGAAGGAAAAAGACAGACAGCTAGGGATGTCACGATATGAAATTTTGGTGCCACGATTGTCTGAGGAAATATCACGGCTTCACGGTTTCAATGATAATCGATACTATCGAAGAAAAAAGACTCACAACAAGCAATATATAGCTAATAATATAGCTTGTGAAAATATATATTATTATCATCAACTTTATCCAGTTTTAAAAAACTAAACGTGTCCTGGTTCAAGCCACATTCTTCCTGTCATTATTATACTTGTACTTTTCAGTACAGGTGAACTCTCGGCTACATTCATAGGGGTTAATGTATGTGTGTATGTGAGTGTGTGTGTGTGTGTGTGTGTGTGTGTGTGTGTGTGTGTGTGTGTGTGTCAACCCCACCTGAGACTCATCGAGTGATGGGACATAGTTAGTGGTATGTTGCAAAACTTGAAATGTACAAATATGTTATAAGCCCAGTTTGGTAAGCAACAGATTTACAATTTACAGGTATCACCAGCTATTCCCTCCTTGACTTAGAGGACCCCCAACAACCCACTAACTGGTGGTGGGGTGTAGTGTGATTTTGGTGACACGGGTACAGACCCACAGAGGTCAGTCCCATTACTCTTAAGAACTGAAGAATCCTCTTGGATAAGACGGTAGCATGTCTTCAAGAAACACAAGCATGC